CCCCAAAATAACCAAAATTAAAATATAAAAAATGAAAGTCAAATTGAAGGCAAGCAAAAAGGTATAACCAAATTTAAAACCAAAACAAAAAAGCTAAAAAAAAAAAAATACCCAAACAAAAACAAAGCCCTAAATGTTCTGAAGTCTTTTTAAGACATATGTATCTATAGATTACTATTCATATATAGTTTTGTTTGATTATTTACTTAGCATCCTTAATCCGGATTTCTACTTTCTAGTTGATGTGATAAAATCTCCAATATTTAAGGGAGATTTAACTTTGACTCTAAGGACATATGAAAATAACAATTGTATGAAATGATGTTTCCATAAGTCAAGAAAATTATCTAATCCTATGATCCAGACATGCTAAAAACCCATGCAACCACTTCCCCACATTTGCCTTGGTTATTGCTGTTGCTTCTTCCAGAAACTCTTTGCCCCATAAGTGAGCACAGATGCCATACAAAAATGTGACGAGCAGGCAGATTAACAAAGGTTAGTAAGGCTGGAGGACGCCAAGGTTTTATTTAGCTTTACTAAAACAGAGTAGCCCTGGAAAAAAGTTAAAAGATGAGAAAGTAGAAAAAGAAGCAGTCAACAAGAATGATGTTAAAAGTGCTATGAGAATCCCTATTGGCAGACCAGGTAAGGTTCTTATCAAACAGTATTCCCCTCCCCCAACCCCCAGAAGCCAAATGGGTTTTCAAACTAGACTTTCTGGAACATAAAATGGATTTGCTATTTTCTTGTGTCACATCAAACCAATCCTTTTTATATGTAAAATTTGTGATCCAAAGAACAAAGAAATAAAATTCTTATAGTGGGTCTAGTGTTTCTCACACACTGACTTTAAAATACTTCTCCTCTTAAGTATTAAGAACTAAACTGCCAGAACAAAACTAAAACTAAGCAAATATACTTTTACTCAGGATCATTTAAAATCCTCCAGAAATATTTTAATAAGTATAACTTAAAGATGCTTTCTTTTTATGAAAATCCATGATATACCCAGCTATTTGGGGAACATCCCTTGAAGTGAAAAATCTTAGCAACATCTAAAAACACAAAGATGATATTCTGCTTATGTAAAGTGGATCCATATTACAGCGCATCTCTGTCTTTGTTTCTCTTTTGTACTTCTAGCCCCTTTTTCAGTAAGTGAAATAACTTCACTCAGGCCAAAAAGAGAACCCTGACTTCAAAACAGTTAGTTTTAAGGGATATTTGGATAAAAACCAGTTGTTCTTAACTAACTCAATGAGCAAATCTTGGTAACATGGATCTAAATGAAAACAAAATCTGATTTAGAATTTCACAAATGAGTAAGACCAAGGAAGAATTTCTATTCAGGGAATAAAATCCACTTGGAAAATACACCTGAAAAAAATGCCCCTTACCATAGTCTAGTAAATGAATATACTGTTAATTAATAGTTTCTCTTATTTGGATGTCATCACCAAAAGTAATTATAATTGTTCCTTGTTGTTTAGGGTTTTTTTTTTAAAGGTGGCTAGGGGAGGAGGATTGAAACTTAAATTGTATCTTGCTTTCTAGACCAAAGATATGCACAGTTACTTTCTAGGGAACAGAAAAATGACTTTTGACAATATTCTAGCCTCTAAATGTGATGCTGCTGCTACTGATTAGTCACCATCAGAGTGACAGATTATTCTTTCACAGTTAAAAAAAGTTTATTATTCAAGTACATATTTAAAAATTTAATAATAAAGCAGATAAATTTAAACTTACAGACTTTGTATTATTTTTGTCTTTTTGTTTTTAGTTAAAAATAGCAGAATGTTTATTCTTAAGTGATAAAAACAATTACATTACTATTAAAGAAAAAAAAAGTCATGTCTACCCCAAGAAGACTTTCTTGTAAATATGCATAAAGTGAGTTTCTCAGAATATAAACTCTGATTCTTCTTATACAACTGACAGCTACAGCTTCTTTTTCCTAGCTTTTTTTTAATGCTTCTTAAGATTGCTTAAGGATTAAATAAATTTGTCATTGTTTAGGAAGTGACCAATATTCTAGTAACTGTTCTAATATCATGGTTGAGTGACAAAAATGATGCATTTAAACTTCAAAAAAGCATGTATAAATTTAAGTATAAACTCAAACGAAATCACATAGCTATATTTCTTTTTAAAAAATATGACTGCATTCTTACAAGTCAATCATATCCATATATATAAAAATATAAAAATACAAAAATACACACATACTGACCATAATATTAAAAACTCTGTATGCAAATGTTATTTACCAAGATACTATATAACTCCTATGTTTAAAAAAGAAAAATCATGTATATAAAAGCATGTATATGTGTGTATGTGTATATATGTGTGTGTGTGTATAAAAAATACTTATATATTCCACGTTTAAAAAAACCAAGTTCACTGATATAGCACATTCATATCATTAAATTATCCTCCTGTTTTCATTAAATATCAAATGCAAAAGGGTCTCCTGAAAAGACTCAGTAAGGAGCTTATTCAGATAAGAAGAGAGAAGATAGCCTAACAACATGTATCAAAAGGCAAGCACAGGAAGGATCACATCTATAATATAGATCATTAAGTAGAAAGGAACATTTATTTGGCAGCCTTACTCTGTGATATATTTAGAGAACTATAATAATATAAAAGTTATAGACCTCAATTCTATTTTTTAATTGTGTTTATGAGCCAAAAATAATTGTGGATAATAAATATTAAGCACACATTTATTGAAGAACAATTTCTTTGTATCTTTTTAATGTTTACCCATAAGGAACATTTTGAAGCATGTTTGTTGGCTGACCACTAAGAGGTCATAAAATACATTTTCCAATCAGGCTACAGCATTAGAACTATCAATTCCTCTGAGAACAAGAAATTTATGTGGAATAGACAGTTGTCATGGAAGAAAAGTACCTTTCCTGATTTAAAGGGTTGCTCTTACAAGCTGCTCTGTCTCTTGCTTTTAGGTACACAAAGTAACTAATAAACAGAACCTGATTATTTACAGACTAAGAATGCTCTCTGGCAACTTAAGTCTGTCTTAGAGAAATTTACCCTCTCTTTACTTTATGGTATTTTTATTGTAGGCCACAAAACAATCACTAGTTACCGGTTATGGAGTATGCTATATATCATTCTTTTTTCAAATTTCGTTACTGAAAGTGTGGTCCAGGATCAGCTGCATTAACATCACCTGAGAGCTTATTAGAAATGCAGAAACTCAGGTCCACTTTAGACCTGCCAAATCCCTAACTGCATATTAAAAAGATTTGCAAGTGATTGAAAAGCACTGCTCTGACAGACCATCAAGAAAAGTTACAAAATCTAAGTTTACATTTGAGACATAATAGGTGTTTAAGGGTACAACAATTTTAGCTCTGGTTTCTTCAACTAAAATGTTGAAGACAAAATTATTAATTTTATTTACATTTTCATCTACAGAAGACAGTTGTTTCAAAAACAACTAGGGATCAAAAACAATGATGAATGTTAAAGGTCTCTGTACCTTATGAAAGCACTATACAAGATACTACCGTCAAAAGAAATGTAGCTTCATTATACCTGTCCTAGTTTGATCTCTCACAGACCATCAGAGGCATGCTATTATACATTATTAAGATAAAAGGCTCCTTCTTCACGGCTCACAAACCTTTCAAGCCCCTAATCACACTGTAGCTAAATCATCTTTCTGTTTCCATTACAAACTAAATACAAAGTAGACCTCCTAAGGAGACTCTATCTTCCACACTACCATTATCTTGTTCCAAACACTTGATTTAAACTTTACAATTCATTCTCTCTCTCTCTTTTTTTTGGCTTTGTATAATTTCTAAGATAATAAACTACTAGTTTAACTGTTAAGCTTGAGAACCAAGTTGTCGTGAAAAAGGCTGCTGTCTTTGACTTTTCTGGCCCATTTAGCAATTGCCCTTCTTTTCCCAAGCACAGAGTGTCTGTAAGGCTGTAGTTTCCATGCTATATTTCATGCTAAAGGTAGAAGCCAGGGCACTAGCAATCTCTTTAATACTAACTACTCTCAAAAGAAGACCATAAATACTAAAAAATGAAAAATTTCTAAACTCTACTCATAGCATCCTAAGGTTAGTTCCACTTTCACACATCAAATGAACACAGAGAAGCTTCTTACAACTAGAATTTAGTTAACCAAAATCAGTTGACTTTAAAAATCGAACTAATGAGTCAACTTATTTACTCATGAGATTTAGCATCTATTGAGCCTAGGAAATTAACATCATAAAAACGTAAAAGCTATTGGCATCATAGATGTGACCTTAAACTGACTTTTCAACTGTTCACCAAATCCTTTTCTCAACGCCTAGAAATTAGAACATCCTCTCATATCTGAATTGGTTATATAGCCCAAGCTTGCCTGTCACCACACATGCCGGTAAGAACCTAATTGAGAATTCAGACTCCATGCAGGGGAACAGAAAAGGGTTAACACATGCAACTGTGCAGCAACATTTTTCAGACACAGTTTAACTTAAAAGAAAAAACAACAAACAACCCACCCAGCACAATACCCAAGTCAGCCCAAGAGCAGAGAATTAGTACTATGAGGTGATCAGAAACAAAACCAAGGCAAACGCCCATCAAATGAAAAATTCAGAGTCCTTATCTTTAAAGAATTACTACTGATGCAAATTCAGAAAACACTATCACAAGGCAAAGGCTGTATTAGAGAAGCTCCCACTATTTCTTGGAAAAGCACTTGGTTTTGACAGGAAAAAGATTTGACTTTAAGACATAAAAGGCACATAATGGTACCTTTAAGGGGAGTTCTTCAGGCCCAAGGCTACCAGGAGATGTGATTTTGTTCTCCATTAAGGAAATGAAAGGCTAGTGTGTGGGATCAATGAGAGTTTGGATAAGCACTGGTCAAGTGCTCATTGGTGCACAAGGAAATGCATGAGAGCAAGCTGCCCCTTTCCTAATAAATAGTTAGCAAGGTCAGGAAGGACTCCTACCAGTCTCTGCTGCTCCAAGAGAAGATCTGCTTCTTCCTTCTCCTTTTTGTAAAGGATCTCCATTTCCTGTAACCTAGAAGGAAAGAAAACAGACAGGGAAGAATAAATTCTGCACTACCTAAGCTGTTTAACAAATACTATCATGTGTTTTAAAAGTCACAGCCATGTAGACTGTAGAATATGTGCACATTACCTTTTTTCCATCTCCTGTTTCATATCAATTCCTTGTTTTTCTAGAAGCTCTCTCTGAGCAAATGTCCAGTCCACAGGCTCAGAGGGGGTCTCGGCAGAAGGTGTTTTCTCTCGTTCAGCCCGTGCTTGCTCCGGGTGGTTAAAGCGAAAAACATGATTTTTACCCATGATGATACGGTTTCCTAAACAAGACAAAAATGTTGTTGTTTGTTGTTATGTGCCGTCGAGTCGCCTGCGACTCATAGCGACCCTATGTACAACAGCCCTAAACTCCGCTCTGTCCTGTGCCAAACGCCCTGTCTCTGACACTCCCTTCCCAATTATCCCAGTCACTGAATCAATCCACCTCATAGAGGGCCTTCCTCTCCTGCGC